GTCCTGCTTCATATCCAGGATGTAGGCGATACCTCCAGACATACCAGCAGCAAAGTTACGACCAGTCGAGCCAAGAACAAGGACGCGACCACCAGTCATGTACTCACAACCGTGGTCACCAACGCCCTCAACGACTGCGGTAGCACCGGAGTTACGGACAGCGAAACGCTCAGCAGCCATACCGCGGAAGAAGCAAGTACCGCGAGTAGCACCGTAAAGGCAAGTGTTACCAACAATGACGTTTTCTTCAGCCTTGAATGCAGCACCACGAGGGGGGTAGATGATAAGGCGACCTCCCGAGAGACCCTTACCAACGTAGTCATTGGCATCGCCTTCCAGCTCAAGAGTGATACCAGGAGCAAGATAAGCACCGAATGACTGACCAGCGGAGCCCTTGATGTTGGCGTGGATGGTATCCTGGGGAAGGCCTTCGCCACCATAACGGCGACTGACCTGGTAAGACAAGGTAGCACCCAAGCCACGATCAGTGTTGACGATGTCGCACTCAATTCTGCAAGGGAGGCCCTTCTCCAAGGCAAGCTCAGACTCGGCGATCAGCTTGTTATCGAGGCGAGTGTGGAGACGGTGGTCCTGCTTGCGGACGTTGTAGGTAGCGACGCCGGGGCGCAGGGAGTGGGCAGGAGTAAGAATGAGCGACAAGTCAATTTTCTCCTGCTTGGCATTCCGGATATCGTCACGGACCCTAAGAAGCTCGGCACGTCCAACCATCTCATTCACAGTGCGAACGCCCAACTTGGCCATGATAGCACGCATCTCGTTGGCAACATAGTAGAAGAAGTTGATCACGTGCTCGGGCGTACCCTGGAACTTGGCCCGAAGTGCCGGGTCCTGAGTTGCGATACCGACAGGGCAGGTGTTGAGATGACACTAAGCATGAGTTAGCACGGTTCCAAGGAGAAATTCCAGATTCATCTTACCTTGCGCATCATAATACAGCCCATGGCGATCAGAGGGGTCGTAGCGAACCCGAACTCTTCGGCTCCGAGCAAGCAAGCGACCGCAAGATCGCGACCAGTACGAAGTTGACCATCAGTTTGCACAACAACACGTCCACGCAGGTCATTGAGAACCAAAGTCTGGTGGGTTTCGGCCAGACCCAACTCCCAAGGAAGACCGGCATACTTGATACCGGTCCAACGAGAGGCACCAGTACCACCATCGTGACCAGAGATCAGGATGTGATCAGCCTTGGCCTTTGCGACACCGGACGCAACGATACCAACACCAACTTCCGACACAAGCTTGACAGAGACACGTGCGCGAGGGTTGGAGCACTTGAGGTCGTAGATGAGTTGCTTCAGATCCTCGATAGAGTAAATATCGTGGTGGGGTGGCGGCGAAATAAGACCGACACCGGGAGTAGAGTAACGGGTGTGTGCAATGGGGCCGACAACCTTGTGACCAGGAAGCTCACCACCTTCTCCAGGCTTAGCACCCTGTGCCATCTTGATCTGCAGTTCATCGGCATCGGCAAGGTAGTGAGATGTTACACCAAATCGACCAGAGGCAATCTGCTTGATGGCGGACCGCATTGTATCGCCATTTTCCAACAGCTTGCTTCGCTCGGGATCTTCACCACCTTCACCAGTGTTCGACTTTCCGCCAAGGCGATTCATTGCAATGGCAAGGGTGGAGTGAGACTCCATGGAGATGGAACCGTACGACATGGCGCCCGTAACGAATCGACGAACAATCTCGGTCCAGGGCTCGACCTGATCGATAGGGATCGGTGTGCGTTGCTCGAAATCAAAATCAAGCATACCACGGAGGGTGCAGTTCTTGATCTGCTCGTGCTCAGCCTTGGCATATGCCTCATAGGACTTGTCGTTCTTCGTGCGCACAGCATCCTGCATGTTTGCGATACTGACAGGGTCGTTGATGTGCTCCTCGCCACCGTCACGCCAGTGGTATTCACCCGACTCTGGGAGACCGGGGATATCGACAATCTCGCGAGAGGGGTATCCACGCTCGTGGAAAGCAAACGCGTCTTGGGCAATCAATTCAAAGGTCAGACCACGGATGCGGCTTGCAGTTCCAGCAAAGCAACGGTCAATAACACTGTCATCGATACCGAGGGCTTCGAAGATCTGAGCACCCTTGTATGACTGCAGGGTAGAGATACCCATCTTGCTCATAACCTTAAGGATACCACCATCACAGGAAGCCTTGTAGTTCTCGATGACCTTCTCATCGGGAAGCTGCTTGCGGATCAGCTTCTCCCGGTTCATCTTCAAGATACATTCCATAGCAAGGTAGGGGTTGATGGCGTCAGCTCCGTAACCGACGAGGACACACATGTGGTGCACTTCACGAGCCTCGGCAGTTTCCACAACGATGGCAGCAAGAGATCTCCACTTGTTGCGGACCAGATGGTGATGAACAAGACCGGTTGCTAGAAGGGCAGACACCGGAACTCTGTCCGCACCAGTGGCACGGTCTGAGAGGACGAGGATCTTGTCACCGTTCTGAATAGCCTCGGTGGTGGCATCGCAGATGGCATCGAGGGCCTCCAGGTATCCCGGAACGCCCTTCTCCTTTTCGAAAGTGATATCAATGGTCCTCACAGTCCAGTCCTTGTGGGCCTGGGAAATGTTCTTCAGGGCGTTGAACTCGGGGATACTGAGGATGGGGGAAGGAAGCAACAAACGGTGGCACTGCGACTGTTCCATCTCCAAAAGATTTCCTTGAGGACCAACGTAGCACTCCAAGGACATAACAACAGCCTCTCGGATAGGATCAATAGGAGGGTTGGTGACTTGAGCGAAGAGTTGGCGGAAGTATTCGTAGATAAGACGAGGCTGCTTAGCGATACAAGCCAAGGGGGCGTCGTTACCCATGGATCCCAGAGCTTCCTTGGAGTCTGCGGCCATGGGACCAAGGAGTAGACTGACTTGCTCGAATGAGTAGCCAAAGGCCTTCAGACGAGGGTCGTTCTGAATGGTCGTTTCGTCCAAGGCATGTGTCAAGTCCACGCGTTGTTCGTCCAGGCTCTCTTTGATGGCAGGCAACTTGAGGAGCTCCTTATCCAGCCACGAAGCAAAGTCATGTCTGTGAGATACAGTGTATTTGAGCTCAGAGTCATCGATGATGCGTCCAGCCACGGTGTCGACGAGGAGCATCTTTCCAGGCTGCAGACGACCTTTCTGGACCACGCGCTCGGGGTCAATGTCTACAGCACCGACCTCCGAGGCACAAACGATGCGGTCATCATCTGTCACGTAGAATCTGCAAGGACGCAAACCGTTACGGTCGAGGTTTGCACCGCAGTAGCGACCGTCGGAGAAGGTAAAGAGAGCCGGGCCGTCCCACGGCTCCATCTGGCAAGCCGCCCATTCGTAGAAAGCAGCCTTGGCCGGATCCATAGCCGGGTTATCTTGCCAGGCTTCCGGGATCATAAGCATGACCGCCTCAGGCAATGAAAGCACACCGTTGATCATCAACAATTCAAGAACGTTGTCGAACGCTGCCGAGTCGGAACCACCGTCCTCAACAATGGGGTACAGGGAATCCAGCTCCTCACCAAAAATGTCCGACTTCAGCACACCTTCTCTGGCGCGCATCCAGTTCTTGTTGCCACGAAGGGTGTTGATTTCACCGTTGTGGGCGGCCCAGCGCAAGGGCTGTGCACGATCCCAAGAAGGGAATGTGTTGGTAGAGAAACGGGAGTGGACGAGAGCAAAGTGACCTTCGTAGTCAACGTTTACCAGATCATGGTAGTACTGGTATACCTGAACGGGGGCCAGTTGACCCTTGTAAACAATGTTTCTGTTGCTCAGGGAGCACAGATAGAACCAGTTGGCGAGACCGATGACGTGAGTAGCCCGCTTTCGCAGGACATACAATTGACGTTCGAATGTCTTCATGTCAAACAGCTCTGGGTCGGTAAGCTCTGGCTTGTTTCCTTCGCCATAAGCCGACTTCAGAACGACGAAAGGCTGCATGATGGTAGGCTCCCGGGAGAGAGCGGCGGGGCCCAGAATGGTAGAGTCGCGGGGGACCTCACGCCAGCCCAACACCCGTAGTCCCAAGGATGTGGCAGTTTCCTCGAAGCTCTGTACAGACTCCTTTACGGACTCCTCCTCAGGCTTGAAGAACAGGTTGCCGACAGCATACTGACCGAGGGGAGGGAGATCAACTCCGACCTCACGGGCAAAGTTCTTGATAAAGAATTTATGGGGAATACTGGTCATCACACCAGCACCATCACCATCGCGAGCATCCGAGCCAACGGCACCGCGATGGGTCATGTTGCAAAGCAAATTGCGAGCTGCAGAAGTCAGTTAGTATACTCCCAACCCTTCTAGGCATATAGGATTGTAGGTGCTTACCATCACTGACAATCTTGTGGCTAGGCTTGCCCTTGATGTGACTAGATTGCGAGAGAATTGCTGTTAGCCCGTCGATCCATGAAGCCCAGGGCGCAATCATAAAAGATCACACCTTGAGGGGGAGATGGTTCCTTGCTGAGCACTTACGCTGCAAAGCCTACACCACAAGCATCCTTCTCGTATTCGGGGTCATAAAGACCTTGCCTCTCGGGCAAGGTGTTTGCCCAGCCATATCCCTTCTTCGGCTGGTACTCCGAATACTCATTCGGAGTCTCCTCGTCCACTATAGGTTTGCCATAGATTTCCTCCAAGTTCAGACCCATTCTTCCGCCGGTGGCCGACAGAAAATGGAGTAGCGAATCTAGGGGAATTGGTGTGGTTGTTGATGGGGGGACAATGGGATCGCCGCGGAACAAGTCGGGGCGGGGGAGGGGGGGCAATTCGTTCTGTTATAGATAAGAACGATGTCGTCACAAAGACGGGGGGGAGTGGTGTACAATGACGCGGGCAAGGAAGGGGCAAAATTCAGAAACTTTTAATGGTGATGGCCCAGCGTCTGACTCCTTGTGGGATGATAATGGGAGAAAGAAGAGAGAGAAAGAGAGGAGAGAAGCGACCAGGGGAGGGGGAGGGAGGGAAGGGAATAATAAAATGGGCAAGACAGACAGAGAGAGCGGGAGCTCCTACTACGGGGGGGTGCGGTCCGGGGATTCACCTCGAGACTCCTCCGATACTCCGTACCAAACCAGTATGTAAAATTGGGGTTACCCCCCTTCCCTTCTCGGTCTTCTGGGCGGATGAACGCACCTCCAGTAGTAGTACTACTAGTAGGCTCAGGTCGGGTGAATCCACCGCCAGATCCAATCTACTCTAAAAACGCCCAAATGGTACGGAAACCGAAAATTACCGAAGGTGGGGATGATCAAGAGATTCCCGTGGCAAATCGTAGCTTACCTAGCTTCAGGAGCGAAGACGGAGTGCTAAAAAGGAAAGACAGTCGTAGTTAGTAGGTTAAAGCCAGGCAGGTGTAAGCAGTCAGACGGTGGTTGTTGACGGGCGCAGGGAAAAAGGAACTAATGCGGGCTGGCAGATGGCAATGAATTCTAGCGCCTACTACGGAGTACACTACGGAGGGTACTGTAAGGGGGGTGGGTGGAAGGAAAGGCGCATTGAATGACAATCAATCCCATCAATCATTCATCATTCTGTTGCCCTCTCTCTGCTGCATCACTGCCGGCAGTCACCAGAATATCCCGTGTATGATGTAGTTCCATATGCATACACGATGGTGATCTACAAGAGGTAAGTTTGTTATTGCTTCTGTCATCATGGTGCAGAAGGCAAAAAAAAAAATAAAATAAAATAAAATAAAATAAGAAGGTGGGTGGTGTAAGAGTGAGTGGCTTACGTCGACTTTTTGTGGATTAAAAATGTTGTCTGGCTTGTGAGTTAGTCTGGCAGCAGGGTTTCTGACTTGTCTCAGAGAAGAAAGCTTTTCCATCCGCTCATTGTGTTGAAAGGGAGAGAGGTGGAATGGAGAGAGAATAGATTAGCCATTTTTCCCCATTCACCAAGGGAGACTGAACTGACTGTTACAGTACTTCACCTCCAGCCGGGGATTTGTTCTAGAGAAGGAGATAAGACTAGCGTCCACCAATCAGCATGACGGTTTTACAACCTTCCGCAGAAAGATTAGGTTTTGGCTACGTCAAGATCCAGGCCGGTGGGGCCCGGGCCAAAAAGAAGAAAAAGGGAAACAGAAAAAGGTTGTCCGCTGACGGCGCTAGTGGGAGTCTACTGGGTACTTTGTTTCGTATCGTCCCGTAATGCTGTTTCCCTTCGTTCGTTCAATACGGACACCGACGAGTTTGTGGTATTCAATCAGATTACGGGACGCAACATAGTAGTAGTAGTCAAAGTAGTAGTAGGATTTGGTCTCCATTGTATTAATGCACTGCCTCCAAGTGGGCATGAAACGTTTTTTTTCCCCATCATGCACAGCTCCATTCTGGCATTCATGTCTGCACCATAACTCTTAATTACAAATTGACCCATCAGGTGAGAGACCTGGCCGGTCTTCTATCAAGTGGGCTGGCTGGCATACCCACCCAGGTCAGAAGAGGACCCAGAGAGCTGTTGGAGAGGTTGGATCAACCGGAAAATGATCGTCCTGGTGGTGATACCTACAACAATCCACAAATGGAAGAAGTAGATGCCCTGGGTGGCCTGTTCCACTTCATGCTCATGGGATCATAAGTCACCTTTCTCTAGTTTAATGTACGAAACCTAACAATGCGATCACAAACCACAGTATGTACCTGGTGGTCTTATTCCCTGAACACTAATTCGTATATTCTCGGATGATTAATCCTGGTCGTGACGGCTATGATCGAATCTCAATCCAATTCAACTGTATCTACCAACAGTTCGCAAAGATTCGGTTCATATCATGAGCTACAGTGTGCCTTGGGTGGTGCAAGCACTGTTAGTCAAAGGAATATTTGCAACATACTAGTAGGAGTGTATACGTATAGCAGGTACAGAAAGTACCGAGCAGGAGCCCTATAGACACGCCAAGCGTTCCGTACCTACTAAATATTTGGAGCACCGCATATACCAGAAAGCCCATCTCAATGCCCGTGTGCAAGCCATGGCTAGGATGGTCAATGGATGGTGAGACCGTCTGGGCTACACGACTCGCAGTTTCTCATCTTCCTCCAACTGTTCGACCAGAGCAGGAGGGAAAGGGCCCAGCTGGATGGAATGATTGGGCGTTGTATAAGTGGGGCAACGCAGGGATACAGTGCTTATCCCCGATTCTGTCCCAATCAGTTGGTCGGCCTGTGCTGAAAGTGCGCTGCTGCACATGGTAAGTCATCCCCAAGTGGCCTGGGAAACCCGGAAAAGAGGACAAATCCGGCGGCACTGCAAAAATTAAAGGTCACTAAAGAAGCAATTCTATTTCTACTCCAAAATTGCTTGGCAGGCACTAGGCGTTACATTAGGACAGTAAGGAGATGAAGTCTCCAAGTCGATTATTTCTATGTATAAGAGAAAATCCCAGATCGTCCTGGGAGATGAACTTTTGTAGTCATAGTAATTGGGATGTAGTCATAGGAATTGAGGAAGTGGGTGGCCCCTACGGTGTGTGTCAGTATACCGTGATTAAGTACACGGCCCGCAAGTGGCCTCTGCCTACATCGTATACCACAGGAAATACGGAGTGGTAAGGTGCACCCATACTAGGTTGGTAACTCGCTTCTCCGACTAGGCTAGGCAATAGATTGCATGGTGCATAAATCTGCCGCCTAAACATCTTTGTAAAGTTGATCAATCGGAAATAGTCAGAAAGAAAAGAAAAAAAAAAAAAAAGGGACAGGGCAGAACAACCGGCACACGCGGCCTGCAACTTGCAAGAGGACTGCAACCGAAGGAACTTTTGACCCAGACGCTAAGTGGTGCATTGGGCAATAGGTGATCTCGCCCGTGGGCTGCTCTCTAGACCGAGGGAGGGCCCTAATAGAAACACACGCTTCCTTTGCCCATCCTAAGCCAGAAGAGAGAGCCTTTGAACTAAAACTCGCATACCCCACGCTGAGGTGCAGGTGGTCGGGCGATCAGTGGTAAGTTGGTAAGTTTGCCCGTTACAAGCGTATACGCTGTTGTAACCGGTATATGTATTTTTGGCCAGGTGGAATGGTGGGTAGTAAGTTACTGGCACGGAGCGGTACCACTCGCCTCAGCAATAGAAGCATGGCTGAGTGCTGTTGTCCGCCCACCTTTTTTGATTCCCGTCAGCACCAACCTTTCCGACAACGGCCAAGCTAGGCACCTTTCCCTATCCGTCCCGGAATCCCTCCTCCCTCTCAGTCCCTCCCTCCCTCCCCAAACAGTTAACCCAACCCCTCTCCGAGCCACGTTCCCTCTAGTACAGTCTTTTAGGCTGCCTTCTCTTCTCTCCGTTACATTCACCCGTAGCTTACTGCCTAGTAGCTTTCCCGTACCCCTGCCCCGCCGATTTCGGGGCCCGCCACTGCCCCGAGACGCACCTTGCGTTTCCAAGAATGCCAGTGGGTTCGACCCGGTCGAATTTCTCAAGCTCATTTCTTGAGGTCATCCAAACCTCTTATCAGTCACCCTCTTCAAATAGCCACATTCTTACTCGACGCCCATCTGTCCATCTGGCATCTAGACGTCCCATCCGTAGATCTTTGAAACCTTCCATTGACCCAAACCTAGGTCAATTTTCTGGGGAAAACCCACCCTCCCCGTGAAATGATTCCCATGGGCTTGTCCGGGACTCCGGGCAGGACTGAACGGACGGAGTAGGAGTAGGACCGTGGCCATTGATTGGCCCCGACCAATGAGCATGCAGGAAGAACACACACCAACACCCCGGAAATACGAGCGGTACCAAGCCGGTATGGCTCTGATTACACTGGTCAAGTTCAGGTCGGGATCTGCCCATACTAACGTATCCTTTCACCAGCTATCGGACTAGTAATGCTTTTCCTATCCCCCCCTCCTTCTTCCCCTTCGGAATAATCACGGGGTGTTTTATGCTGGCTAACTCGGAACCCTGGCCCGATAAGAGCTTATTTATTCGAAAAATAATAGCATGAGTATGATTATGGTAATACATAAATCAATTGTTTTCCAATCTCCCACTCTTACCCTTACCACCCCCCCCCCCTCCCTCGTCCGAGTTGCCTGGACGGTGTTGTGTTCACCTTCTACTGGCTGACAGATCAATGGATCCCACCATGCCAGACTGGCAGCCAATTTCATTTCCCCCCCTCTATAGATCCTTAATAATCATTGTTTCCGTGCTCCGGCAAACTTGGAGCTAGGAGGTGTCTCGACAGTTCGCATGGGTACGAGGGTGGCCCGATTGGAGGGCTGGCTTCACGGCTTCAGGCGTGAGCTCCCCGGGACGGATTGTCTTGAGACGAATGACTGAGACGGTTCCTTCCTTTCACCTCTGAACGACTAAAATTCTCGGCCGATCTACAAAGGCCGAAGAAATTCGCCCATCCTCTCTCTCTGGTTCACTTGTCTCTCCAATGGCCAAGCAATAGCACCTACTAGTGGGCGTGTCCTGACGCCTCGCTAATTACTGGTCCTCTTAGACTTACTTGCTTGGGAGGCACGAGAGGGATGGAATGACTCGGAGCTGTGGAATGATCACTAATTGCAAGACTGCGCCTGGTGCATTCATTGATGGGGATCGATTTATCGAGAGATGGAGTATTACGCAACAAAGCTGCCGTGTTACCTCTGTCCAGAGGTGCAACTACTGTTCCGATTCTCCCCTTCGCGTATCCTATCGCATCTTAGACCTCGTTTCGGGCCAGCCTTTTGGCAATCCGCAGACTGAAAGGATCCGCTTTGGAGCGACGGACATCACATGACCGAGCGGAGATGCCAATGTTTCCGGTGTCCGTTTTCTCCCGATCCTTCCTGTTCAGGCTTGTCCGCTTTGGGCTCACCGAATGTGACCTTGACAACGGAGCGGGAGCCTGCAACCTCTCGGGAGTTCTCGGGCCTGGCAAACGGAAGCGACCGAAAACCGGGCAGGAGGAGGGGGGCCCAGCAGCAGGTCGGTTTTCGTGATTACAGGAACAAACAACACCAGTAGCATCCGGTAAGGTACCAAATGGTTTGGTTTGGTTTGGTAGGTCTTTATGCAAACCGAATTAATTTCAGCGTGACTCTGATTCATCTCTCCGCTGCAGAGGCGCCATAGACCCAGTAAATTGTCTTCATCTGACTGGATGATATCTGGATCTACCAAGTGTAATTTTCCAGGCTATCCTGGCTATTTCTGAGCTGCTACTGCCACAGCCTTCTTTTATTGAAGACGACGCTGCCCTCCTGCAGAAGGACACTGACGAGGATGTCAGATCAACATCTACAGCTGTGCGAATTGGTGGAGCAGAGTAGTCCGTCCATGGCCTGATTTTCTCACGGCTCTCTGTTGCTGCTTTGCACACTTTGTACAGCTGGCTAGGCTCATGCTTCAGGTGATCTTTGTGCAGTTATACTCGGCAGCTATGCAGGACTACGGAGATCCCCGGATGCCTCACTGTGGGCTGATGCGGGCCTTGGTGCGGAGCGTGGGTGAGAGATAGATACATACAACCGCTGCTGTGCATGCGTCCTTGTTTCTGGCCTGGCTGGTGCGACGCATTGAAGCAGACACAGGCACCGCATGAGGGTTTCCCTTGCTTACGGCGTGTCCAGAGTCAAGCCTCTGTCTACGTGCTGCAATGCGGCCAGCCAGCAGCAATGTCAATATGCACGGTGCACCAATCATCGATGGAGAATATGGTCTTTACCTGCACGTTTGGGGGACGGATTTTTGTCCGTTGGTAGATAGTCAAGTGGACTTGAGACATGAGCCACTAGTTAGTCGATGAGCCAGACTTCTAGTGTGAATAATACAGTGTTGCTAAGTACTTAGCTGAATGGTCTGTCTCACAACACGAGGCCGACGCTAGGATGGAAGTGCAGGGAAGTTTGTCTCTATGAGGGTAAGGTTAATAGTAGTTCGCAAGAATCCTTCCATCTAGTACTGTAGTAGACTGGAGTCCCCGCTTAACACACGATACTAATACCGAAGTACCATGCAGCCTGGCATTTCCTGTTGTCGAATCATGGGCGATTTAGATAGTACTACTTCGTACCGTCCGAGGTATGAAGTGTGACACAATCGGGAATTGAGTCTCGGGATATATATTTTTAAATTAGTACGGAGTAGATGGGACATGAAGCAACACAATGCAAGTCCCATAGATTCCAAAACAATCTCCACCAAACTATATATACACTCTTCTTGTTAGTGTCTATGAAAGGGTTACACAGATCTCAAATCTTGCTGCGTGACCAGTTCGCCAGTAAAAGAGTAATCGCAAAAGGAAGCGGCGAGACGCATCCTGCCAGATGCGGTAAGTCGGGAGATCCCCGCGCGGGAGCTTGTCTGCTTTTGTTTTGGTTTCCCCTCTCGACCTCTCCGATTTCTCCAATTCCGCTTCTTCCTCTCCAAACAGATTCAAGATACCCCCTTCAGCTATCTACCAGTGGTCTCTACTACTGATCTAGCGTCATAAATTCGACTCGGTTATATTCCGATAAAATTGCCTAGCTGGTCTTGCGCATGACGGCGGAACAACTCTGGCTCAGAACCACCTCACGATAAAAACCAACCGACCTATATAGAGTGCGAATCACTCGAACTTCTTTCCATCTATACATCGCAATTCAATTGAGTCTGAACGAGTACTTCCATATTCCTTGTGTTAGCTCAGGCTAGCACCGCCAACAACAATGCTCTCCCTTCCACTCATTACACCTCGCGATGTACGTGCTATCAGCTTCTGCGAGCTCCTCACACTAGACACCCTTGGCCTCCAATTGAAGTGCGTCCTTGGCTGATTTATTTCTATGATAGTCTCATGAACTCTGGTTCGGCTCCTCACAACCCTACCGCACCTCCTCCCAGCACCAGCCGTCCGCCGGAGAAACACAACCACATGCCCGTCGCAATGGCTCTACTGCGCTAGGTGGACGTGCCTCAGCCTCTGCGTCAGGAAATATGCTTTCATCCCTTCTGTTGGAAGAGCGGGCTCTACGTGCGCGCAAGAACAATATTGCCTCGTTCGGATACTCGTGGATCAGGCCGGCCGGGTGTCCCAAGACGATGCTGGGTATGAAAGAGGAGGAGGCAGAACGAGAAGAGGCGCTGGCCGCCGCAGCGGCAGAGAGAGCAGCGGCGGCAGCGGCGGAGGTAGGCGTGGATGGATTGGACGAGCTCGGGAACCAGACGCAGGGTACTTTTGATGGCGATGGCCAGGATGACACGGGCATGGAGAGAGATCTGGACGATGATATCCCCGACGCGGATGCAGATGGACTGGTTGAGGAAGGCGAGGAAGGGCTGGAAGAGGATGATGTCGTGGATGAGGGAGAGTACATGGAACGTGATCTAGACGATGATATTCCGGAAGCATTCCCGGACGATGATGACCTGGAAGAGGAAGACTTGGAGGAAGAAAATGACGACTTTGACAATCAGCCGGACCTGGACAATGATATCCCCAGTGCAGCTGAAGAAGATTACGACGATGAGGGAATGAGCGAAGGCGAAGAAGACATGGGTCGGGACCTGGATGATGACATCCCCGAGGCAGTCGAGGACCGGTCAGAGCAGGAAGAGGAATGGCAACATACCGACACCGACGCCGAATTTGACGATGAGGAGGATGTCAGCTTCTCGCAAGACCCCTTTACGCAGAGCTTCCGTGCCAGTACAACCAGCAGTCGAGGCCTGCCACCGCCTATACGACGGGAGAGGGAAACCGAAGCCCAACGGCGGTTTCTACAGAGGTGGAGTGGTGGTGGAGATGCCTTTGACACTAGCAGCATGCTCGTCGACGATGAAGACCTCCGCGCTTCTTTGACGAGTCAGGGCAGCCGACGGAGTTTCTTTAGTCGATTCCCTAGACGGCGCACGGGAGGGCCCAGAGACAGCCTCGAATGACCGCAAGTTCAATTCTAAATTACATAGGTGTACTATAGTTCCTCGGGATGGGTTATGGAGTCCTGGGTATATCGCAAAAGGAGGGATGCTTGTGCTTATATAATTGCATGAAACCGATGACGGCGTCTTGGGCACATACAGAATTTAATAGACTCATTCTATATTTATAACTATTACACATGGTACGATGTCATTCAAGCTAGCAGTTAAAACTATCTATCGTATTGCAAGCCAAAGGGTTCATATATCAAATGCATGTAGATAGGCAGGTAGATGACATGATGGGTATGAAAATAGTATACTATACATCTCACGTATCATTGTACAGCAAAAGAGCAGATGCTGTCCTATGTATGGCAAACAACCGAGCAAGCAAGTACCCATAGAGTAGATAGCAGGGCCCCGAACTCCCAGACATGCACTATCATCGGTAGAGCACAAGAGCGCAACAATCATGAATGCTCAGCCAGGTAGAACCGTCGGTCGCGGGAGATAGAAAGAAGAATGGGTATGCTCCTATAGACCGCTTATGTGCAAAGATGCTAATTATGTCGATGTCGAAGAAACGTCCTTGGCCTCAAGCCATAGGTTCCGTGAGCAAGGAGCTGGGCGGATGAAGGTGAAGCGATTGACACAAGTGTGTCCCTGTATATGAATATATAGCTCAAGGTCATGGCCCTCTGCTATACAGCCACGCCAAGAAAAAAACCGTTGCACTGGGTCAATAGAGCTCCCGAGATATCATGCTTGGCTAGATTAACAGCAGCAACATGTCCCGTCCCTCACGTCAGCCAGACGTAGAAAAAGAGCAAGAAGACGGCAAAGAAGAAAGCGAGCCACACTTTCCAGCTAACGCCGGTGCGCTCTGCCATCCGCAGCATACGGTTCATGTTTCCGCGGAGACGAACACGAGTATTCTCGAAGGTGTTATTGAGGTCCGATATGGTGGAGGTATCCCGGATCTCGTCGCCAATAGCAACCGTGAGCTAGCATTGGGGTATTAGAATGTGTACGTACAACCAGTCTTGATGAGTGGGAGAAGCGACTCACATCTTTCAGCATCTTGACCTTGGCGCTGATTCCCTCGACCTCTGCGTCATTCTGAGACTCTAGGTGGGATAGTACAGCATCGGAGTAATGACCCCTATGGACCGGAATTGTGAGCTTCTTGCGCGGGAAGGTCCAAATCCAGCTTCTCTCTTCATTGTTGTAAGAACGTACTTGGCGTTTGGGGTCGCAGAGCGAAACCCTCCCCTGGAGTTGCCATTCACGGAGCCATCCCCGGCCGGGGGCGTGTATCCTCCATACCCGTAACCACCTACGCTGCCCGGGGATTTACTGGCGGGTCGAGAACCGCCACCGTATGAATCGAAAAGGGACGAGGAGGCACGAGGATCGCGCTGGTGTAGGTTAGAGCGTGGGAATCTATATACAAGCTAGTAATCAGTATCGGCTGGGGTATCTGGGAAAGGACAGATGAATAACACCAACATACCGTGAAGCCATAACAGATCGTGAGATTATTAATTGTGAGAGTTAAGGTGGATAGGATATGATATTTTAGAGGAGGCGATCACAGCCAGTGGGGGCACATGTCGCAAGATGGAGGCCCTAAACAGCAGGGGAAAGATGGGTGAGCGAGCAGGCTCTCGAGGAGAGGAAGAAGTGAGGACAAATCGTGGCGGAGAGCTAATAGCTGGCCGTCCCCGGAGACCACGGGGTAGCTCACGTGACTCTCCAGGAAGTACAATCTAGCAAGTGCGAACTCTACATTAAGAAGAAGATTGATTGTACAATGTACATGAATTCTTTTTTTATTATCGAGATATTTGCTTATAGATCTCCTCTGCAGACCATGAGGTGGGTTTAGCATGGAGGTGATAGCTCAGTTGAACCCCATTGCGAGGCGATAGTTTCAGCCGAACCCTGGCCCAAACAAAAAGGGTCCAGGGTGTGCCTATCGGGGAAACATTGAAAGGGAAAAACGCATAGGCAATCATAATGATCCGTATCCATCCCAAAACCTGGAAAAGAAAAACATCATAATATGATTAAGAGATGAAAGTGTGACCGGCATAAAGGAACCGAAGAAACCCTCAAAGCAGACCCTGCGCCTATCCATCCCAATTCCCATTGCGCTCGCCGCCCCTAAGTGTGTGTTGGTATCGTCGTAGCTTGATCCAAAAATCTAGTCCTGCATCTTGTTGTCCTCGTCGTCATCACCAGCGCCAACGTAGTCGTCGTCCTCATCGTCATCCTCGTCCATGCCATCATCCTTCAGACTCTCGGCGGCGGCTTGGAAGTCAATGTTCTTGCCGCGTGTACGGCGGCCACCGGAGATGATGTTCTCCGAGGAGATGGGCTCCAGGTTGTCGTTGTCTTCATCGTCATCTGGCAGTGAAGATGCGCAGTTAGTATGGGGTTCGAGCTAGGAAGGACGAGATCCGTGTCCAATGAATGGAGGAGAGTAAAATCAGGGCATCATACCATCATCGACCTAAACGGCACAGAAAAGGAATCAGTCAGCTGGACATGTCTCATTGTTTGGAGATCTAGTCAGTGGGTAATAGAAAACTCACCATTTCTTCGGCCTCGCTCTCGTCACTCTCATCATCGTCCATGCGCATGTCTTGGGTGGGGTCTGTGGCCTTGCCCTTGCCCTTATCCCAGGCAGCAGCATCGGGAGCATTGGCGGCAGGGTCGAAGCCGGTGGTAGCTTGGTTGTTGTCACCCATGATGAATGAAGAAGAAGAGGAGTAGTGGTAGTACACGGGAGGGTGGTTCTGAAGATGGATTGGTAGGAGTGTGTTGGAAGTAAAGGCAAAGCCAATCGAGTAGGAAGGAAACACTCCGGAGGAAGAGAAAATTCGTAAGGAACAGGAAATTCAGAAACAGGGGATAGCAGGAAGCGTGGAGTTTAAGTAGGTAGCGGTGTCAAGGGCAGCGAGGATAACTCTTCTCTCTCTGTCTCTCTCTCACTCTTCAAGGCAAGATCAGTTCCTGTCGCAAGGGGAGATTCACCTCGGCGGGCATTGGGGCGATGATTGGTTGCCAGGGGTGGCGATCAGCTGCAGCTCCCGTGATGGGGCTTTGCCCTGTTGGGAGGGCTCATAACAAACAATGTTTAGAAGTTCTGGCCCTGCAATCAAGGGAGTTGCCATTACTTGCTTTCTATAATCAGGCATAGTCACTACAAATGGATATGAGCTTTGGTCTACTAGTGCTGCTGCAGATTGGCAGAGTGACAAACAACAGAAGCTTCGTTTGAGTGCAGTGCAGCGGCGGTTTCTCAGACAACGGATTTTGATCGCGGGGAAGATTTAGCAGCAGGGGGTAGCTGGAGTGGAAGTTTCTCAAAAGGATGGATATACAGCTACAAAAACGAGGAATAATATTATGTGGAATGTAATGGATTCTTTAAAGGAGTATGTATTCATGAGGAATATTGCTGGAGCGATTGATGGCTCTGCTGGAAAGGGGCTAGATTCGTTAGTTATAACTAACTAATTGTTGTGCCAGGTACCCTGTCAAAGAGTGACTCAAATCATGTGACAGTTCTGGACTGGCCAAGAATGCGTAGGAAAGAAAAGAACAAGAATGGAAGTATGGAAAATCCATCGAAATTCTCCGAAGGAGAAGAAGGAAGAAAGAAGAGGAGAAAATGATATGAATCAGCGTCATTATGACGGCCTCTATTCTGCCCAATTCCATGGGTGTCCAAAATCTTCCCCAAACAGGGTGAGAATTGAAGTACAGAGTAAGCTATGTTGTACAATTAGCACTTCTATTCTACTACTATCTGCACAATTTCTCAGGTTAGCAATTGAAGGAGGGGGGATTGGGCGGCAATTCATTTTGGGATTCATTCTTTGGGAAACAGTAGTATCATGAGATAATAATAATAAAACACTACTAACATGGTAAAGTAAGAAGAATAACTCAAAATAGTGAATTACACGCGAGTGAGTCATGGTTGTGAACCAAAGATCGTGTGAAATCACTAAAATTAAAATCAAATCAAAAATAATAAAAATGTCAAAGAAAATTCGGATTCTGCCTATTACGTCATCCGGATTACCCCGCCAACCGCCCACCAAAAAAAATCCCCTCAGAGAGTCATTCTAGATCTATCCATCTCCGATGCTGCAGGGAAGTAGATCGTAGCATCACAGAGAGAGAGAGAGAGAGAGAGAGAGAGAGGGAGGGGAGATAGTAACTACTAGTGTTAGATCGTAGCCAACCCCCCAGATCATGCCAGTGCCCTCTTCTCCCCTAAACCCTGAACGAGTGAATTCTCGAAGGGTCGAGTGAATGCTGGGCAGGACTGGGGCGCAGATGGAAGCCAGTCGAACCCGATGGATGCCCATCGAAACGGGCAATTGCTAGAAGCTTCGCTGGAGCAGCAGCTCACCGCCCGCCACTATATCAGCTTTCGCTCTCGCACAAATTCTCGTCCCCTCGATTTCTTTTTCTCTCCATCAATCTCTTCCTCTTTATACCCCAATCTTCCCATTCTTCTTTTGTGTTTTGTACACTACTCTCTTCTAACGAATTCCCTTCTCCCTCTTCTCTCTCCCTTAACGAACCTCCTCTTACACACATAAACACATACACACACACACACATTCATCATGGCCCCCGCTGTCGGTATCGATTTGGGAACCACCTACTCCTGTGTGGGTGTCTTCCGTGATGACCGCATTGAAATCATCGCCAACGACCAGGGTAACCGCACTACCCCCTCTTTCGTGGCTTTCACCGACACCGAGCGTCTCATCGGTGATGCCGCCAAGAACCAGGTCGCCATGAACCCCCACAACACCGTCTTCGATGCTAAGCGTCTGATCGGTCGTCGTTTTGGCGACGCTGAGGTCCAGTCCGACATGAAGCACTGGCCCTTCAAGGTTGTCGAGAAGGGTGGTAAGCCCATCGTCGAGGTTGAGTTCAAGGGCGAGGCCAAGCAGTTCACCCCCGAGGAGGTCTCCTCCATGATCCTCACCAAGATGCGTGAGACCGCTGAGGCTTACCTCGGTGGCACCGTCAACAACGCTGTCATCACTGTCCCCGCCTACTTCAACGACTCTCAGCGTCAGGCCACCAAGGATGCTGGTCTCATTGCCGGCCTGAACGTTCTCCGTATCATCAACGAGCCCACCGCCGCTGCCATTGCCTACGGTCTGGACAAGAAGGCCGAGGGTGAGCGCAACGTCCTCATCTTCGATCTTGGTGGTGGTACCTTCGATGTTTCCCTCCTGACCATTGAGGAGGGTATCTTCGAGGTCAAGGCCACCGCTGGTGACACTCACTTGGGTGGTGAGGACTTTGACAACCGCCTCGTCAACCACTTCGTCAACGAGTTCAAGCGCAAGCACAAGAAGGACCTCACCTCCAACGCTCGTGCTCTCCGTCGTCTCCGCACTGCTTGCGAGCGTGCCAAGCGTACCCTCTCTTCCGCTGCCCAGACCTCCATTGAGATCGACTCTCTCTTCGAGGGTATCGACTTCTACACCTCCATCACCCGTGCTCGTTTCGAGGAGCTCTGCCAGGACCTCTTCCGTTCCACCATGGAGCCCGTCGAGCGTGTCCTCCGTGACGCCAAGATCGACAAGTCCTCCGTCCACGAGATCGTCCTGGTCGGTGGTTCCACCCGTATCCCCAAGATCCAGCGTCTCGTCAGCGACTTCTTCAACAAGGACGCCAACAAGTCCATCAACCCCGATGAGGCCGTTGCCTACGGTGCTGCCGTCCAGGCTGCTATCCTGTCCGGTGACACTTCCTCCAAGTCCACCAACGAGATCCTCCTGCTCGACGTTGCCCCTCTCTCCCTGGGTATCGAGACCGCTGGTGGTGTCATGACTGCTCTCATCAAGCGTAACACCACCATCCCTACCAAGAAGTCCGAGACCTTCTCCACCTACTCCGACAACCAGCCCGGTGTCCTGATCCAGGTCTACGAGGGTGAGCGTGCCCGTACCAAGGACAACAACCTGCTCGGAAAGTTCGAGCTCACTGGCATTCCCCCCGCCCCCCGTGGTGTTCCCCAGATTGAGGTCACCTTCGACCTTGATGCCAACGGTATCATGAACGTCTCTGCCATCGAGAAGGGCACTGGAAAGACCAACAAGATCACCATCACCAACGACAAGGGCCGTCTCTCCAAGGAGGAGATCGAGCGCATGCTTGCTGAGGCCGAGAAGTTCAAGGCTGAGGATGAGGCTGAGGCTTCCCGTATCCAGGCCAAGAACGGTCTCGAGTCCTACGCTTACTCCCTCAAGAACACCATCAACGAGGGCAAGCTCACCATCAGCGATGAGGACAAGCAGAAGGTCACCTCCAAGGTTGACGAGGTCATCAGCTGGCTCGACAGCAACCAGACCGCCGAGAAGGACGAGTACGAGGCTCAGCAGAAGGAGCTTGAGGGGTATGTTCATCCTTTCCTTTCATCCTGAAAAAAAACAATTTGAATCATGACGCTAACTTTTTGACTTACAGTGTTGCCAACCCCATCATCTCCGCTGCCTACGGTGGTGCCGCTGGTGCCGCCCCCGGCGGTGCTGCCCCCGGTGCTACCCGCACTGCTGACGAGGTCGAGGAGCGCCCTGAGGAGCTCGACTAAATGCTTTAACCAGCTGCGGTCTCGATTCTTTTCTTGTTCTTTCTTCATTATACCTCCAGCCGTTTGCAGATAGGCGAGCGGTTTTAATGGATCTGCTTGTTTCTTTTTCCTAGTATCATGTTAACGAATTTATGGGAATCACTTTTTCTTTGTCTATGCATAGATTCGAGTTGCTAGTTGTTACTGCATGATGACTTGCTCTGCAGACTCTGGGAGGGAAAAAGTTTCCTTTCGACGAATACATTACTTTAATTCAATTCGTGCAATTGTAGATACAATCGACTCTTCATATTAAATCTGCCCACTTTAATGTTCACTTGAAATCGAACTTAGTTGTTGTATCCCGTCAGAAATATCTTGTCTAGACCACCTAGTCTGATTTCTACCAAAATACTAAACTAGTTAGTACTTTATAATTGATCTGGGAATATCTCAATCAATCATCGCATCATATGTATTCAGTAAAGATCGCTCAATCACACAAAGTGACTTATAACCATAGAACCCTCAACGCCCTACCCAACCCACTAATATATACAGTTTCCATATACACACATCCTCACCCCCATCCAACCCATAAATAAACATAAATCTCACACCTTCCCCACCAACAACATATCCATATCCTCATTATCAACCTCCAATTCACTCAATCCACTAGTCATAGTATCATTCCCCAGCAGAACCCCGTCCAACACAAATACACAAACAAAGCAATGTCGACAGAGACCGAGCGACCGGGTATAACGAGAGAAAGGCAATTACAACCCCTCAAAATCCCCCGCCCACCATCTCCTCACTCTCCCCGCGCCCACCGAAACCACATGTCCAATACCAATATCCTTAGCCTGATCCGGGAACTTTTCGCGCTGGTCGCGCTGAATGCGCAATAATGCCGCCGAGGTGCCGATGGTGAGGGCGAAGATGGGGTCGGCGATTCTATTTTTCATTTCGCATTATTCGTTAGTATTCGTGAGTTATATCTGTGATGCTCGATGATGTGCGCTGGGTGTATGTATGTATGTGATCGGTCGATTAAATCCAAGGAACAGGTAGAGAGGGATTATTGCCATGCGATGTCGGCTTCATATTAGGTAGGTGGGTAGGTAGGTAGGTGGATGGGTAGAGGTGCATGCATGCGGCAATGAGGGAATTAGGATATATGTGCTTAACAGGACAACGTACTTGGAGATTAGGTAGACTGGCATTTTGGGCGGCTTGGCTGTGCAGGCTTTGGCTGGTGGGGAATGTGTGCTGGATGAAAGATGAGTTGTAGACTTGAGATGAGTACTAGTTGGAAGCTGTAGCTGGTGTAACTCCGCGCCGGATGTCATGGGTCACGTGATATATAGGCTGGTTACGGTGTATC